AGTGAGCTGGTCCCAACTTACCCCCATTGGGGTAAGATGGGATCAGGCTGGGGTAAGAAAGGACCAACAGGTAATTCTTATGTTACAAGGTTTTTAGTAAAAATATAAATCTGATATTCAATATTATCCATCTAGAAACACATTATTTGATTAAACAACCACTTGTTACTGTTTTGTGTTGCAGGAAGTCAACTCTAATATCAGTCACATTGGAGTTTTTGCCACAAGAAAACTTTGTTAGCATAGAAATAGTAGGTTGGCTTTGATTCATTGTAGAGCACTGCCAAATGCTACATGTACCATATATTCCATTAGTGTCATTGTCTGAAAATTCATCAAATTGGTAATAAAACCAATAGATAATAACTTAAAAGTCAGACGTCATGCGTTTTCTTGCTAACTGCATTTGTAGTGCACTTCTTCAAACATAGCCCATGCCCTCTCACAAAATTGCGATAATTATTTTTTATGTTTCACACAATGATTTTTCCCCTAACCACTCTTGCACATTGTTCTGCAGCTCACTAATGGGAAGAGACATCCTTATTTTCTTCATCCCCATGATGCAATTGACAATAGTATGCTAAATTTATCTAGTTAAAAAAGCTAACAAGTTAGAATGGTTATTTTAAGCAAAAGATGGAAATTTTGACCAAAATATTCCATGTATACTTATGCACAATAATATATTCATTTAAAGGCTATTTTTGATAAACTATAGGGTAAATGAGGACCATTTGTTTGTGGCAATTGTGGGGTAAGACAGGACCATTTGTGGGGTAAGATAGGACCACTTGTGGGGTAAAACAGGATCATTTAGTGGTCCTGTGTTCCTGTCTTACTCCATATCCTGTCCTTTTTTACCCCATTTTAGAATAGTTGTCAGGCAGTGATGATAGCAGGTAGGAATGCCTAGTATGTCTCAAAAGTTGCTTGTTACTTGAGGTTACTTGCCTACATCCACAAACCTGGCCAAAAAATTTTTTGTATTCAGACACAGCTTATTTACCAAACAGGGTTAACTATTTTATGACCCTTCTTTACATAGGTTTTCTTTGAAAATTACCCAAAAATTAATTTTTTGCAGAAGAGGGTTGAAACAAACTCTGAAATGACAGGCAATGATTGCTCTAACATATTCTTTTGTCAAATTAAATTCAGTACAATTAGAATGCATGCAATGGGCCGGTCCTTTCTTACCCCATGAAGGCTGCGATCCTGTCTTACCCCATTTGACTATATGATAAATTTTGTCAAAAATTTAAAAGCAAACAAAATTCACCATTTACAAAGGAAAACATTTTGGAGAGCAATCAGCAAATGAGAAACAAACGAGAATGAAGCAAATATGGGCAAACAGACCTATCTACTTACAACTTTTAGGGTTATTATTATTAATATCATATTATTTTTATATTATTTTATTACTATGTTATTATATGGCAGTTGAACCCAAAAAATCATAGTTTAGACCTGGATTGGAACTTTCTTACTTATTTCAGAAATCTTGCAGCTGCAATGTGATAATTTTAGAATACATTTAGAACCTTGCAACCTGACTGCATACTTTTACCAATAATATAGGAGGTAATTCATCCCATACCCAGGATGGTGCCGTTTTCCGCGGATTAATCCGGTATAAACGAGGCTCCAAGCCCTTCTACTGGCGTACAACGCGGCATACAGAGCTAAAATAATGTTATTGGCGCACACGCCCGGCGTACGTCCGCATCTGGCTTGTCTCGACGTACGTCTGCATTTGGGTGATCTGGCTTGTCCCGACATACTGTACGTCTGCATCTGGCTTGTCTTGGCGTACGTCCGCATCTGGGTGATCTGGCTTGTCCCGACGTATGTCCTCATCTGGTTTTTAGCATTTTAGTGCATACTAATACGTTTTAAGTCGATTTAGGGCCTTCTAATGCGATCTAGTGCCTTCTAATGCAATCTAGTGCATTCTATTACAATCTAGTGCGTTCTATTATGATCTAGTGCCTTCTAATGCGATCTAGTGCCTTCTAATGCGATCTAGTGCGTTCTATTACGATCTAGTGCATCCTATTACAAACTTTATTATATTATTAACAACATGGCACATTATAACATTATATTATTAACAACATGGCACATTATAACAACATAACACATCATAACATAGCACAGTATAACAACATAACATAACACATCATAACATAGCACAGTATAACAACATAACACATAATGTAGCACAGTATAACAACATAACACATCATAACATAGCACAGTACAACAACATAACACATAATGTAGCACAGTATAACAACATAACACATCATAACATAGCACAGTACAACAACATAGCACAGTATAACAACATAACATAAGTTATTCCTAGGCTCCAGGATTGGAATTTTCCTACTTGTTTCTCAATTCTTGTTGCTCCAGCCCAGCGTGACAAATCTTTAATACATTTGGAATTTTGCGGCCTGATTGTGCAATTTGTTAACAATTAGATAGAAGGTAATTCATCTGGCGGAAATCTTGCTGTTCCGGAAATGGCGGGAAAGCTCTAGTCATTGCCCTAAAGGTAGATGTTTTCCTTGCTTGGTAACATAACAGAAATTACACTGAAATTACAGAATAAAACTGTACAAAAGATTTCGGTGTAATGTTGTCAACCTCAGCCTGTTACTAGTGTCAACATGTTAGTTGTTACCAGTGGTGGTCAGTAGCATGCTGCATGTAGCGGCTACTACATTTTCAGTAGCGGTAGCAGCTCTACATTTAAGCAATTGTAGCAATAGCAGTAGCACCCACTACATTTAGAGCATGTAGCGGTAGCAGTAGCGGCCGCTACATTTCAAAGTAGCGCTACCCAGCTCTGGCAACTGAACATGTGATAATGCAGTCTGACCGCTCTGATGCAACTGCAACTATGTGATCTTCAAGGAAACATTTTGGGTTGACTTTTTGTTATTATGTTCCGTAAAATGGGGGTAACTTACGCCACTTTTTTTTATAAATGATGCCATTTTTTTACTAGCTAAATTAAACTTGAATTGAAACATGCAAAATACAGGTCTATACACTAGCTTCACTCACCATAAATTGCTGGCTCCTGCCTCTCATAGTCTTTATGTAATTTCAAAAAAAGTGATGGTCTTTGTTACCCCAGCTCTTGGGATAACTTAGACCGGGTGGTAAAATCAATTATATTTTTTGGTAAAATAACTCCAAATAACTCCAGGTTTTGGTGCATTGTAGTAGAACTCTTCTAGTTACATATGCAAATGACTAACTTGAGGAAAGTGTCATAGTTTGCGAATGGGAGGCACCGCCCCATAATAAGGGAAATGTGACTACCTAATGGCAGCCCTCATGGAGTAATATTGACTGGCTTGGAAATTAAGTTAAAATTACCATATATAAGACTCTGTAGAGTCTGAAACATTAAGAAAAACCATAAATAGGCTGTCAAACATAAAATATGTTATATATGGTAATTTTATGTTAACTTCCAAGCCGGTATATGTTACCCCGTCAGGGCTGACATTAGGTGGTCTAAGTTACCCCATTTGGGAGTGGCGCCCCCCATTTGCAAACTATGACACTTTCCTAAAATTTGTCATTTGCATATGTAACTAGAAGAGTTCTACTACAATGCATCAAAACCTGGAGTTATTTAACCAAAAAATAAAAAAATTGGAGGGGGTAGGTACTCTGACAGGCTTTAAATAATAGCTTTTTTTCATCACATTTTTAATTTTTTAACCTATTAGATATGCAAACTTTTCAAATCTTTCTATTGTGTTATGTAGCCTCAGTATTAGGCCTTTAATGCCCATTGACAAAATTTTTCTATGTCAAATAGTTTTTGAGTTGTGGGGGTTTTTGTTAAAAAAATGAAAAGTGGTCTAAGTTACCCCGCCGGTCTAAGTTACCCCATTTTACGGTTCTGCGGGTGGGAGCATTGAAAAACTGCGGATTATGAAAGTTGAAAATTTTATGAAATGATATGTTTGGGAAGCTACTGCAATTTTTCAATCAAACAAAAATACTTGATATTAAGAGCCGCAAAATTTCATACCTACTGAAATTAAATGATATTAGAGCTGCAATATTTCAGAAAAAAGTAGGACTTGTCCAGCCCTGCACTCAACAGTAAGTTAACACAAAATTTACCACCTCTCTACCAGCCCTAGATTTAAATTTTTCTATTTATGAATGAAATCTTCTAGTTCCTATGTGACAAATTTTCAATAAATGTGGTAGGCTCAATTAGGAAAGAGAAATTTGTTTTAGGGCCATTGAGGAAAATTAGGCAGAAGCCAACTGTTAATGGTACAGAAACACCTGATAACCTATGCTTGCAGTCAATTTTACCCAATTTTATAGCCATTGCCTAATTTATTTTATAGAAAATTAGAAAAATTGAACATTTTTGCCTGTAATTTTGGAAATTGCTCAAAAAAGCTTTCAACTTTGATTTTGTAGATTTTACCAATGTACTAGATTCTTTTTTAGGCTCAGTTTAAAAATTAATATGCAAAAATTTGCAGTTTTCTTCAGTTTTTGCTAATGAAATTAGTTGAAAGGGCATAGCACAGGAGCATAGTTTGGTGGAGCATAGTTTGGTGGAGCATAGTTTTGAATATTCTAATATTACTCATGATGTTATAATAATGAATTATGAACAAGATTATTTGCCATCATGAAATATAATAATTCAAGAGAAAACTCTAAGTACCATACAAAAATAAGCCACATCACTAGTCAAATGACCAAAAGTTTTTTGAGAAAGAAAAAGGAATTTCATAACTATATGAATTCCAAGTAAAAAAAGGCAATGTAAAAAATGCATGAATCAATTAGGATAAATTTAATAAATTTGTACAAATTATTCTACAAGGTGTAATGTGCTAGCTACATATAATAATACAATTTTTTTCTGCCACAAAACTATTTTTTCAAGCCAGTAACTACTTAGGTTATTTGATGCTACAAAGTTGAAATAGATTCTAATTTTCCAGGTACCTCATTGTTTGAAATGAGGCTTTTAAGATGTTGAACAGATGATGTTTTTGATTTTTACCTAGAGGCAAATAAGTTCTATTAATTTTTGTAACTTTTAGTAAGAAAAGTTGTAAATATTCATATAATTAATTTAATATTTAATGGACTCAAGTGAGTGTCATAACCGGCTTGATGTATCCAGCAAGTCATCTCAGTCCAGTAATGGCAGCAGTGCAGTTCCTAAAGTGGTCACAATTGAGTGGCACATGCTTGACAAGGAGAAATTCTTTCCGCTGTCATTAACTTCAAGTTTCTGCATCCGCAGTCTCCTTTACCCTCTCACTGTTGTCAAAACAAAAATACAGGTAAAAGGGTTTACTTACCTATCTCTTAAATATTCATTAATTCAAGCTACTAGTTTATTTCTGTTTTTTTATAAGTTATGCAAGTGTTTTTCCTGGTTCATAAAAATATGTACATATTTGTATATGCCAATACCATTCATTTTATGTTAAAGGAGCATTTTTATTTGTGCAGGTACAGCGACACAATAGTATCTACAAAGGGACCTTTGATGCACTATGGAAGATATCCATGACAGAAGGCATTCATGGCCTATACAAGGGCTTCTGGGTCAGCACCTTCCAGTTATTCTCTGGCCTTGCATACATAAGTAAACAAAATGCTCTCTCTTTTGTTTGTTCAGATTGTTGTTATTTATCATTGTTGGGCTTGTAATTAGCAGTCTGCAAACAAAATGTTTGTCCTTATTAAACAAGAATAAAAGATTTCAAAATGATTTATATTACGTGGTCACACATTTCATTTAATTTTCATGCAAGTGTGCTAGTCAATTGCAACCAAAAATAACATTAATTAGAATTAATGAATTGAATATTTATTTACAACCTTTAGATTTATTTAAACTCTACTTATCTCAATTTTAGTTCAATTTCTCATGAGAGAGGTTACTTATATGCTATTTAATTTTAAGCTTTCTTTTTGACCAATGCCTTCATTCAATTTTGTATACCTACTGGCTACTACTATGAATTTATAGTTTTTCCAGTTATTGACAAGTTCTTAACACCTTGGCACATTGCAGCAAGTTACGAGAGTGTGCGCGAGATGCTGCTGCGACAAGGTGTCACGGACAGCCGGCTGCGGGCGCTGTGTGGTGGGGCTGCTGCTTCGGTTGTTAGTCAGTCCATTATTGTCCCCTTCGATATTGTCTCCCAGCACATGATGGTCATTGGCCAGAAACATGGAAGATCAGTGCTGAACCCACTTAAAATTGAGTATCAGGTCTGATAACAATGATTTCATTAGTGGTAAATAAACTTCATTGATGCTAGTAAATTTTCACCAATTGCTATCCTAAAGTTTAAAATTGGCACTGAAACTGAAATTCTCAAAGACCTACTCACACGGTATTAATATATTATGGATGTAGACATTTTCTCTTTATTTATTGTACTCAAATTGAAAGTTGGGAATGCCTCCTTATCTAACATATTCCTGACAAACTGCATAAAAAATGCAGGTGCTAATAAGTTTTTGGGCCTAACTCTGAGTGTGTTGTACAGAGAGCCAATAGCCGTGAGCTGGCGACGAGGTTGATACGTGCCGTGTACACGCAGTCCGGCGTTCTGGGCTTCTATCGCGGCTATTTTGCATCTCTGCTTATTTACGTGCCTAACAGCGCCATGTGGTGGACCTTGTATCATACTTACCAAGGCAAATATGCTCAAAAATCATCTTCTTAAACTATTTTCCTCAACTAGATGCATAGGAAGTTTTGATGCATCAGAACCCACTTTCATCGAGTTCCACTTCAGCATTAGTTAATTATTGTCTAACATGGAAATTTTCGATTATCAGCTTTAAAAGTTAATTCAATGTAGTAGAAATACCAAATCAGTGTCCATGTGTAAATTTATGAAAATTTATAGTACTTGGTTGAAATACCGAATTTAGTCAGTGCAAAGTGTGATTTAATGACCCATTTATACTTGCAGGTGTCCTGCCCCAGCTATTGCCCACCGCCACTCCCGCCCTGGTGACCCAATGTCTCTCAGCCTCGCTGGGAGGCGCTACCACCGTCATCCTCACAAACCCTCTGGACCTCCTCAGGGCCAGACTACAGGTACCTAAGCTCATCTCTTCCAGTCTCGGCGTCAGAAAAATATAGTAATTTAGATTCCTTAAACAGTCATTTAAAACCAATATTAAAAAAAGAAATTGTATTGAACATTAAGTGCAAAAGCAGCCCATGTGTAAGCTAATTTAATATGAATGTAAGCAAGATTTTCGAATTCCTAATTCTAATATGTTGAAATAATGTTGGTTTTTGCCACAACACTCTTTGTTGTCAACAACAAAGTTCGCTTGCCTGGTTACAATCAACGCATATCCAATCTTTATAAATCTCATTGATGATTTTCCGTGTCTTCTCCTATTATTGTAATGGAAGTTTTAATGGTAAACTTGACGCTCACATCAAAACAACTTATTTTCAATTCTCAAGTCTGGCCCTTTAAATGATCTAAAGCTCCATGTTAAAGTCTAAAGCCGTGTTAAAGTCTAAATGTCTAAAGCTAGTGTTGACCTTGCCTCAGGTTCACGCATCAGACAACGTGACGCTGACGTCGACGCTACGGCACCTGTGGAAGGAGGAGCGCTGGCTCGTCTTCTCCAAAGGGCTGTCGGCGCGCGGCATCCAGAGCGTCGTGCACAGCTCCATCATCATCGCCGGCTACGAGACCGTCAAGCGCCTCTCAATACACGGCGACTACCAGCACCTCGTGCGCTGGTGACCACCGAGTAGCGCTCTTTCTGGGGAAACTCTGTTATTTTGATTACTGTGTATGTATATGTGATACCCTGGAGCCCGAATAATTTTTCGACTCGCATTTTCATTAAATGCTCTATTATTTTTATTAGTACTTTTATATTTTTCCTTGCTTGCCAAACATCATAATTTATAGCAAAGCTTTGCTGATCTTCATTCTTCCTTGCTGCTGTTACTAGTATATCTTATTGACAAGGTCTGATTATTGAGCATCTGTATGACAAATTCCAGCAGCACATGCGCCGCGCTTACCCTTCCCAAGCTTGGTACAAAGTTGCGGCTCTGTGCTAGAGATGCAACTTAGTTAAGGGGCTAAGGGCCCAAGGAAAATTAATATCTCTGTGTAATAATGTTTTTAGGTTTGTCGCATTTTATGTGCCACATTTCTTCAAGAAACCTCGATTTATTCCTTCATGGGGCATCATGAGTTATTTATATGCTGTATTTTCAGCATTGATTGGGTCAGTTAATCTTCTTGGGGGTTTTAATTTTTCGGTGGATTTTAATTAATGGGTGTCTGATTTCCTTTTGATTATTGTAGGTAAATGTACCTCCGAGGCTTTCTCATTAATACGCATTAACTCGTACATGAACAATAAAGGATTACTGGATAACGACCCCGTTTGAGAACTGATCCACTATTCGTAGCTTTGCAGGTGTAATTAGCTTGTATTTTAGCTGGTTATTTGATTCAATTTGTATATAGCGTTTCGAGATTTTTGAAAGGTTTATTTGAACGTTCAACTATTACTGAGAGTCTGCTGTAGAAATGTATAAACCATTGTTTCAAATTGAACCGCCGCAATAGTTTTTTGTACAGTCTTACTGTTGGAGCTAATTTACTGGGTTAAATTAAGTAAAGACCATATTTTTATTTTTTTCCCATTGACATCTTTGTTTTATGCGAATTTGTACTAGGTACTGTGCCCAATTTGTGATGTAATTGTGCATATTCAGTCGTACTTCTGTTGTAGGCATTTCCTCTGTATCAACAGAGGCTAAGTCTGTTCAGAAAATAGCGTTTTTCCAAGTATTTGCCAATTTTCAATGCGCCTGATACTCAGCAGTGTATAATTCCTGTTCTAATTAGTTGTTGTTATTGATTCGTTGTGTTGAACTTTTACAAGGATTTTTTATCGTTGCTCTGATCCTTAGTGCTTGATTCCGCTCTCAATTGCGAGTATTTCTACCCTTGAGAGCAGAATACCGCCATGATCTCGAGTGTATTTTCAGCAATTATTTCAATTAGGGAAGTCCAGAAAGCTTTCTTTAATACTCTGAATAATTTGATCGTCAATCTATAGAACTATATTCTTCTAACTTGAGTTTTTAGGATCGGAATTATCTGTTTATAATTTAAAAAGGGAGTTTTGAACGTGCGAATGAACGGGCATAAATAAAAAAAATTTTGTGCCTGCAGTTCATCCTCTTGTGTGCTTGTAGTCAATGCCGTCTCTTTTTCTCTCGTTATTTCTATAATTTTATTAGACCTCGATTCGCGTATACTTATAAGCATTATAACACCTCCTGAAGGTGGTGCTTGTAAAGTACGTATTCAATCGAATATTTCTCAGCAGTTATCAGGTTGACATCGACTCGGATTGATATTAATTTGAAATATGACATTTGACACCTGATAACTTGTTCTGTAACGCTGTTCAGCAGGTCCTGTAAACTAACGTTCATTGGCTGTAACGCCACCAAGCATTTAGTGACGTTAATTCAGAGCCTCTGATACCATAATTAAATTTGTTACAAATATGTACCCTCGTATCGTTTAATGGTATAATTGCGACGGTTCTTCAGCGTTGTGATCTCGCCATTACACTAAGGGTGTTTTTGTAGTGACGACACCATGAGTGTTGTAATCCCTTGCTCAGGGGCCGTACTATCAAAAAATTAGATGAGTACTCACTGCAGTGAGTGACAGAGAGCGCATTTTCTCGTCCATCCGTGACGTGAAGTCACGGACAGACGGACGGACATGACGAGCATAATAGCGCCTTTTTTCCATAAATGAGAAAATGCGCTTAAAAGGGTTACGAGTGCGTTACTCCGTCAGCCAATCACTGATGTCTTTTCAAGCTTAGCTTACTAACCACAAACGAGACATCGGCCGCACTGTGTACTTAAGCGACTTATCGTATAGGCTCAGGAGTGCAAGCTGTGTCTTCGTGAAAGTGATGTCATTGTTGAAGAATCAAAGTTCAGAAGATACTTGGATCCCAAAGATGCTGACAATCCTAGTCGGATTTCATGTGAATTCTTCTTATCGTCTGAACTAAACTAGTGTTTTTTTTATTGTTGAGTTAACCGTCACAAGGTCAGTGTTTCGGTAGACGGGTTGGTCACAAACATTCTGGTCTTCCTATGTCGAAAGCTCGTACTTATCATTGTTCTGTTTTGACTTCGTTCAATTTTTCTTGTTTTAAAATACAAAACCCAATGCCATAACTTATTGTCTTCTGTGTAATGTGTGATTCAATCATAGAGCTGCATTTTCCCTTTTTCTGTCAATTTTAAGTCACTTGATCGTAGTCACCTTCAATAGGACCAATGAGAATTTTATTTCTTGACTTGTTTTTTTTTTTCTGCAAAATCCTTCCTAGGAAGTTTAAACGTCTTGAATCCAATCGCCACTGTGGGATCTATCGCCAACACAAAACGTAACATAGACGAATATGTTCTAGTTAAAGGGCTTGCCTAAGCAAATAAATTTTATAAATCGGCGACGAAAAGTTTTTTTTTTGCGTGATGTTCTTATGCATTTGCTGAAACAATATTTAAACATTTTACTACAGGTGAAATCGGTATTTTAGACTAGGCTCAAGGAGATGCCCACGTTCTTTTTTAGCCAAGCTGCTTGAAGTTGATTGGCAGCTGTCATTGAACACTCAATAAGCGCCATGTTCCCGTGACAAATATCAAAGCGTGTTCGCAGTGTCGCTAATGAATAGCAGTTTAGTCTAAATTACAATTTACAAGATCGTTTAAAGCCGGCGAGTTCGGATTACTGCTAATATTTTGCAATTAGGGCGCCGTTCTAATAACCTTAACAAACGGCTTCTTCAACGACGACGTCGATTTTGACAGCGTCCTCACCACCAAATTCTAACAACTGTATAAGTAAAGAATAATAAGGTTCTGAACTCTACCGAGTCTAGAATAGCCAGTTTCGTTCGCGATGAACAAGGCTCCTTCAACACCTTTGGCGTCTCACCCGCCAATCGGTGATTTTGAATTTCTTTCATCAGTACGTTGTTTCGTGCCTGCAAGTGATTTATATTTTGATTGTTTAGCTTGGTAGAAATACGTACTGACGCTGTAAGAAATTCTGCATGCAGCATTCTGGTTGCACGTGATGTAAATTTTGGTATAATGAAGCTCAGCGTGTATGCGTGCGGATGGCGAAATTCCCAGTTTTAAACGTTTGCTTTTTTGACGTTCCGGGGTACGGCTTAGCCGTACCGTCGAAATTCGAAATTTTGTTTCAATTCGAGGTAGAGCAATACAGAAGAATGTATCCCTTGCTGATATTTAATCGAACAAAATTGCATACAAATTATCGATTTTGCGCAGTCATTCAAAATTTGCTATAGATTTCATGTAATTACAACCTCAACAGCTGTTATACCACAGTACAGATGAAACTGCGCGGTAGGGGAGGGATGTGAAAAAATGCATGGATGGCTGAGGAATTTTATTATGAATTGGCCATTAAAATTGTGTTACGTCAATCGGTATTGACTAATAACCGGATCGATCAGTCCGCAAAACTTAGAGCAAATGACTTTCGCTTTTACCCAGATCGGTCCACCGTGCCAAATATATGATAAATTAAAAGCAGTAAATTCGTCCGAGACGTCTCAAACGTCGATAAATCCATCAACAATGAACGGATTTTATTCAAATTTGAAATATACGTAGATAATATCAGTAATTTGTGGACGGAATTATTTCATATTTTAACAACAACAACTTTTTTTATTAATACGGAAAACAAAACTTCATTTTCAACTCAACCAGCCATAAATCCATCAATAATGAACGGATTTTATTCATTCGAGTTCGCAGGCGAGTTCTCTGAAGTGTCGATCCGGTCTGAAACGTCTGGAAAACAGAATATTTTTACCGAATTTACATTAATACAAATACATTTTAGGTCAGGCGAAGTCACGGACGGACCAAGTGACTTAAAGCTGAACCTGATGTGAATTTTTCAAGTAAATCGGTAAAAATGTTTTCTGCACGTTTCAGATCGATTAGTCCGGTCGAGAATTCAACTTTTCCGAGACCGTGATTTGCTAGTCGGACGAAATTCTTTGAACTGAATTTTGAAAGTTAAATTTTAAGAAATGCCACTTTCTCGGCATATCTGATGATTTTTAACTTTGTATTTCTCTATTATTATTTTTTATTTGACCTGGTGGACCGGTCCGTGTCAAGTTTTTAGTTATTTGTTCCGAGTTCGGGTTTTACACTGCAGTGCCAATGTTAACCTGTGAGAGTGTGGTTAAGTGTGTTGCGGTTTTATTTGTGGAAACCTAATATCACCTGGCCTCGTGCTCGTAGTTTCGATTACCAGTGTGTGAAAATTTAAATTACATGTTTGTGTACTCGCGGCTTGTGTAGAGTGAAACTAAAAGTGGTTCATTGCATTATTCGAAGATTGTAATATTCCAACACGGATGCAAAGTACTTAGGTACCGCCATTCGCCAATACCCGGATACCGGTATGTCTTATATAGGTATGAAATATCTCTCCATACCATCGAGACTAAATAAGAAGCGGAGCATCGGACGCAGGTGAGCTTTAGTGCTTTATTACACCCAAATATTTCTGGAACTGTAAATATATATGTTTTAAGAATTTCAGAAATATCATGAAAATGTTTTAGAATCGACGTTGATACGTTCAGCAATCAAATCCCTCATTCCTGCTTCATCAGTTCATGTCGATTTGAGTACGATAAGCCTTATTAAAAGGCAGGCCTCCGCTGTAAAAGCCGAATCCCCCGTATGTGCTACCGTGTTTTTATTGTACCTTGTCACTAGTCAGTGACAAACAAATGGTTTCCTTGCAAATAGTTGCAATACTTACACGTCTGATGTTGTTGTTGTCACTCTTCATTACTGTTCATTTTTGTTTGGAAATCCGAAGGGCTGACAGTGATCCCGAAGAAACGAAGTGTCTCCTGTGTTGATTCCACGTCGGCTTTTTATGGCGCAAGTTTCGGTAAATGCGGGAGCGATGCGAATACGATGTTTTAGAAGCGCTCTCGCTTGGTAAGCCGTGTCAATCTTTACGAGAATTTTATGCACGAGTTACGGGCCGTTGTTCTAGTTGAAATGGTTCGAATTTCATCAGAAGTTTGATCGGGAAAGTCCGTGTTCAAGAAAATGATGGGAGTGTCGCGTTGCTGAGATTTTGTGACGCTGTGACTGTCGTAGGATAAAGGAACCTAATCTTGCTCTTCTTGAAGCACGGCTGAAGTTTGATTAACAAGAGTTCAAACAAAAGCGCCAAAGTTTTGCGCGAAATTCATGTGCAAAAGTTGAGGGGGCGTGAAAGGTTCCAACCGGAAAACTTCACTGCGACGGAAGATTTCGATGAACTGCTCATTCAAATCTGAAGCGGTGTTTTAGTGTGTCAGTATTTCCAAATGAAAAATGTATTCTAGAGTTATGACAATAGTGTTATTCAAATTTGGAGATTGAGTGATTTGAGATTCACGATTTATGTTTTACCCAACTTTCGCAAGTAAGAGTTCCCAAAACATTGTATTTATAGTTTCGAATAACATTTTAATTGAATTTCGTGAAGTTCTTATTCCGACGCAATTGCTCGAAAATTAACTCAAACCTGAGATACTGTCTGCTGTAATGAGGCGCGTGCATATTTTTTCTCGTTATAAGCATTTTTTCGCTATCGATCCATTAATTTAAAAATTTATTAACTGAAATTTTGATTAAAAAGAGAGAGTTTTTAGTCGTATCATCCGTGGCCCCAGTGACCGTGCCGTCCGCTGATGACCGTTTCGTCTACGGCTCCACGCGATGAGAAGCCTATATCTTGGTTGTGTAGTTACGGTGATCGAGGCAGAACGTGTGACATTTTTCCCTCCGGTGAAAAGAATTGACGTAGACCTCAAATTCAGAACGATTTTCCGAAGATTTTCACACAAATATCAGTGCTATTCTGCAGGAATTTAAAAGTAAAGAAAATAGCCAAAAAGTTCACCATTTCTTATAAGAGAAAACGTTTCGGAGTCCAGCTCCATCGTCAGTTCAAAACCTAGAACACAGGTACAAACAATTAGTAGCCTAAAATTCACATTCAAACAATTCTCCTAAACTCATCATTTATTTCTGTTATCTTCGATCATCTTATGATCATTTTTATTTCTGTTATCATCGATTTTAGTTCTAATGTCCCAAGTTTAGGTGAATTGTTTGAATGTAAATTTTAGGCTACTAATTGTTTGTACCTGTGTTCTAGGATTTGAACTGACGATGGAGCTGGACTCCGAAACTTTTTCTCTTATAAGAAATGGTGAATTTTTGGCTATTTTCTTTACTTTAAATTCCTGGTAAATGTGCGACTTAAGCAGCCAGTGCTATTCTTAATCGTAACGATTCACAACATCCTATAATTTTTCAAAACGTGTTTTACGACATTTCGTGTTTGATGATGGAATATCAAGCAATGAGTAATCAAACATCTTGAAGTTATTAATGGCAGAAAGTGAGCTTTAAAGTTATCGTGTAGATATAAAGTACCCGATTAATTCATTGCAGTCACTGAGCAACATCCGCGACTTGGGACAATGTAGTATTAGAATTAACTCGTGTGTTGCGTTAGTGTCAAATTATGATAGTTGGCTCTGTGATTGCTAGCGTAAAGTTCCATATGTTCTCTTCCTCACAGGA